AGGGGAATATTACCTACAGTATAGGGTTGTTATGAGAAATCAAAGAGACAGTGTGTGAGGAGACAACTTAGCACAGTGCCTGGCCCTACCCCAACACCAGCATCATTATTAGCATTCATAAATACGTCCCCATTGGAACTATCACAATATGGGCCAACTGGAGACCTCGATGGGATCCCTGAAACTGTGCAAACATATGAGCTGACTAAAGACTGGGGGAAAAACATAAAATAAGACAATTTAAACAGGTGATTCTTTAAAGACTAGAAACTTCGAAGTGACAAAGAGGATCTCAGTCCTATTCCTCTTGTCCCTGCTCTTGAGAATTCACTATGTGTTCTATGTCCCTGATTTGGGTTCCTCCCAGCTACCACCACCTCCAGCTCAAATATAATATGCTGAGAAATGTGGGAACCAGCTTAGGATTCCCTCCAAACATCATCCCACTAGGTGCTTCAAGAGCAACATGACACATCTGCCTGGGATCTGCAGTATACTCTGCCCAGAAACTTCTGTCTATGGGAAATTATCTCACTGCCAAGTAAGCCCTAATGAACAAAAGAAAACAGAGAAGCAAGACATCCTCAAGGAGTATGTAAGGGGATTCTCTCTCACTGCCTTCTTCCAGAGAGCCAGACAGAGATCCCATATATATGTTAGGATAGAGGATAAAAGATAAATTAGCCCCTGTCTCTGCCCTCAAGAATGCTTCTTTTTGTAGGAGGCAGGCATAGGGGAGACAAAGGCCCATAAACCAACAACTACCATACAGTGCTAGAATACAGGAGTGTTCCTGTCAGTGCAGTGGGAAAATGAGCCTTCAGTTCTGTCCTGGATAGTGGGGAAGGYTTCACAGAGGAGTCAGGTGGGCTGATTGAAGAAGGGTCAGATTACAGGAAGAATCCAGGTCAAAGCTGTTTCTTGCAGTACACAGAGCCCTGGGATAGAGTGGAGAGAAAGGGTGCATCAGAACTCTCTGAGAGGTAAGTTAAAATACAGATTCCCAGGAAATTAAAACTCAGATGCCCAGAGACCTAGATATAGTAAGTCTGAGGAAGGGCCCCAAAATCTGATTATTTAGTAAGCCTTCCCCTCAGAGTGATTCTGCTACAGGTAACCCACATGCCCAACACTGACCAACCCCACAATTGTCCTAGTCACCCCTCCTTCTTAAAACTTCTGTGGGCTTTGCTTGGAAGGTTCTGTGCCCACTTACCTTCTCCTCCCTCAAACACTATAGACAAACCTTTTCAGAGTGCTTGCTTTCCGCTCATAACCACTTTATATAGATAATTTCATTTAATCCCCCAAATGAGCCTAGAGAGTAGGTTTCCTAATAAACCCCATGCTACTTCAGGAAACTGAAGCACCAAGCAATTAAGTTAACCCATAGCCACACAGCCACACTGCTGGATGTGTGTTATCTTGTCTCTCCTTTAGATTGCTCCCAGCATAAGGGGCCCTGGAGCCACGGGGGGCGGTGTCCAGGGCATTATAGCTGCTTAGTAAATATTTGTGGAATAAGTAAAAGAAGAAACACGCCTTCCTTCCATCTGTGACCTTCACCCAGTGCCTAGGCAACAAATCCGCCCCCTCCCTCTGGGCTCCTCCTAGGTTCCCACTGCCCCTCCTCCTTTCCTACCCCTCCTCCTTTCCTACCCCTCTGGGTCCCGCCACTGAAGGGTTACAGCCCCAGGGCCCCTACTGGCCCTGCTGTTGACCAGCGACCCGAGGGCCTAGGAATGTGCTTTCCGTGTTTGTAGAGCCTTTCCATTTGGCAATCCGGAGAGGGAGCTCTCTCTCCAGACACCTCCTCAAAGTCTCCTCTTTGTTGGAGCTCCATCCAGCTGCTCCCTCCCTCCCAGTCCCTCTGGATCCATTTCGGGATCCCTCCTTCCTTTTTCCTCTCCTCCCTACAGTCTTTCTTCCCCGTTCCCTTACCGCTGGGTCTCCGGCAAACACTCTCTAGATGTTCTTCCCTCTTTCCCTCTCCTCCCCTTCTCCCTCCCAGCTTCTTCCTTCTCTCCTCCCCACCCCTATCCCTTTTGGCTTTTAGCGAGTCAGCCTCTCCCCCTGACCTCTCTGCCTCCCTTCCCTCCTCCCTCCCCAGGTTTGGACTCCCCACTCCTCCCCTCSGCCCCCGGGCCTCTCCCACACTCCCCGAAGGAGGTCAGTTGGCAGCCCCGGCTCCCTCCTCCATGCGTCAGAGCCTCCGGGCCCAGAGGCCTCCMGGCCCTTCCCTCCAGCCTCGGAGACCGGCTCGCCCCGGCTCCTTCCCCCAGAGTCCTCATTACCGCCTCCGCGGCTCCCGCGGCCCCGCCCTGCCTGGCTCCCGGGGCTCCCGGGAGGCGTCCTCTCCCCAGCGGCCCCCGCACCTCTGCWGCCCCCAGCTCCCCGCAGCCGGGGAGGGGTGGAGGAAGGTCACGGTGTTCCCGCAACGGGGCCCTCGGGCCCTGCCATTCCTGGCTGGACGTCCCTCCCTCCCCACCTGCCTCCCTAGGACAAACAGCAGAAATCCTGCAGCCCCCGAAGGGCCAGGTCCAATCTGGAAGCGACTCCAGCGAGAGCTGCAGGGCCCGCACCTCCACGGGCTTCGCCAGCCGCCGGCCCGCAGCACAGGACGAGCCCTGGCACGTGGGCCCGGGCCACCTACCCCTAACGCTGGCGCCGCGAGGCCGGGGGTTTCCCGCCCGCTTCCCGGCAGGGGGAGCCGCGGGGACGCACCTGAGCCCCCAGCCCCGCTCCCCCAGGACGCCGAGATCTGCAACGAGTTAGAACAGTCCCCGGCCGCCTTTCGGGCCGCCACGGCTGCCTGCTGAAGCCATTTGTGCCCCGGCAGCAGCTGAGCGGCGCGTTCCAAACGGGCTTAGAGGTGACGGGCGGAGAGGCTTCGCTAGGGTGGAAGAGAACCCTCCGCTGAGAGAGGAAAGTTTTCAGTCCTGCCCAAGGCTTCAAGCCGAACCCTAGCCGAGTTCGCTCTGTGCCTTTCTTCAATAAACCAATAAATACTTAACTGCCAGCCGCTGTGTGCCAAGCATTGGGTACCGCAGACAGATCAAATGTGTTCTCTGCCCTCCAGGAGCTAGTGGGAAAGAAACCCTCCTAAGTAGCAAATACAATCAAAATAAAGGAAATCACAGAAATGGAAAATTAGGGAAGAAGTCATCTACTGTGCACCTATTGTATGCTCAAAACTGCTCTAAGCATTTTACAAGCGTCATTTTGCTTCAGTCTTCATCTGTTTCTAAGGTATTCCTATCCAGATTTCACAGATGAGAAAACCAAGTCTTAGTTGTTTAATTGAATTGCTCAGGTCACACAACTAATAAGTAGTGGAGCTAGGGTTTTTAAACTGCCTAATTGACTCTCAAACCTTCTGCTTTCTACTGAGAGAAGATACTACGGTATGCTACACTTTGTGAGTACAAATGAGCCTAAAGCTTCAAAGACAAGGTGAAGCCTGAATGTTTTTTTTTTTTTTTTTTTTTGAGGGATGTTCAATAGAAGCTCCTTAGGTAGCCAGAGATGTTTTTCTTGGATTTGTTGTGAATTTTTTTTTCTTTAGTGAACTTTTTTTTTTAATCTGAAATAATTTCTGAACAAATAATTTAGCTAATACTCAACTCAGAATTTTCTGAGAGCACCAAGATGATATGGCTTATTWAAAAAAATGAGTATGTAACACTAATATTCAAGTCAACTTTTAAAAAGGGAGGGGGAGTCCTGTGATATCACCATCCGCCCCCACCAGTTTTAATCACTCTTTCCTCTCAGTTCTTGTCAGTTCACAGCACATACCTGGGTGGGATGGAAGGCAGTTCCATACTGGGACCCAGTGAGCCATAGAGGGCTTAATGGGATTTACAAATGYTCTGAGTGGCTATTTCCATCAGTAACGTGTCTGTCTGAATCACAGTACTTACGTAGGAGAAAAAATCCAATATCTCCATAAAAATCACTCATTTCTCACTTTCCCAGGCAGACACACCCAATATAGTTTTTACAGAGGAGACAGCCTCCTTACCTGGTGCCCATGGCCCAAATCTCCCTCCCAAATGAGACTCTTGCTCCTCAAATACTTCACTCACCTCAAATGCCCCTGCCCTATCCACGGTTCTAACAATGTTCCAGGTACACTCCCATCTCCAGGGCCTGCTCGAATCCTTCCCCTTTGCTCCAGTGTCTGCCCTCTTCCCTAATTTCCTCAGATTTTTTCAAACACCATTCTTTCAGATCCAAATAAATTCCTAACTTGTCGATCAAGCTTTCTCAGCATCCTAGAGATTTTTCCTGCCTCCATTTCTTCCTACATATACCACTCATTGCTTTATATTGTTGCATCACTTACAAGCATGTTCTGTCTCCCAGATTTGAAGATCTTAAAAGTAAGTTCAATTTCTCCACTTCTGTCTGCTCTCAATGGACACTTTTCAAATGTGCATTAATTATAATGGTACTGGCCATCAGTGCTTCAAAACACTATAATTTCCACTCATAAGAAAGAGTATGGCCAGGTATGGTGGCACATGCCTGTAATCCCAGCACTTCAGGAGGCTTGAGGCAGGAGGATCCCAAGTTCAAAGCCAGCCTCAGCAATGGTGAGGCATTCAGCAACTCAGTGAGACCCTATATCTAAATAAAATAAAAAATAGGACTAAGGATGTGGCTCAGTGGTTGACTGCCCCTGAGTTCAATCCCTGGTACAAAAAGAAAGAAAAAAAAAAAAAAAGAATATGGACTCAGAAGTCAGATTGAGCCTGATTCAAATCCTAGTGCATCCACTTACTGATGATGTGACCTTGGGAAAGTTTCTGGACCTCTCTGAGCCTTAGTTTTCTTGTCTATAAAACAGGAATGGTAATAGGGCTATTGTGGAATTCTAGTGTGCTAATGCTTAGCACAGGGTAAGAGTGCTTAGTGTGTCATACACACTGAATAAATAGCTGGTGATATTATATTTATTATTACTGATAATAATGATGAAAAACAAAAGACGGGTGTGCTGAAAGATTTCAAAGAGTACTTGTTTAATAAAAGTCACTATCCTCCAACATGATAAAATTATCTGTCAAAGAATGTCACATTAGAGAAATTGTACAAGTTAGTAGTTCTGGGAACTTTGCACTTGAGTGAAAMTTCATAGCTCTGAGATTTTGCCACCCAATACCAAATGTCTGGGACCTCCACACAAAGTTCCCAAGTATATAATCATCTAAACATTCACTGCTTATTTCCAGAATTTGGGATGACAAAGCTAATTCAGTCTTCTAGAACACTGCAGCTGGGAGTAAYGCCAAGGACAGCCCTCATTCTGTGCACAGGGAAGCAGCAGGCCTCATACAGTCACCTGATAYAAGGAAGTCACCTGGCAGGGAAGTGGCAGAGCTAGAATTAGCAACCAAAATATCCTGACCTCTAGTTCAGAGCTCAACACCACCAACACCTCATTGGCTCCTCAGAGAAAGAGTGGCACTGGGCAGCTTGTGCCCCGCATACCAGYAACACTGGGGTTTGATCTCCTCCAGCTGCATTTGTTCCCAGGAAGTCCACTGAGCGGTCAGAGTTATAGACTGCAGGAAGAAGAGAGTGACTTGTCCCATGGTTGTTAAAATGTAAACTGGCAACTCTGTTGCTAAAACCTCCTGGCTCCTGCAGGAGCTGTTATCTAAATACTCCATATTCTGAGTGAGAATAGTTAATGCTCAAAGATGCTAGCAACTGCTGTAGTCTGCATCTCTTCTTGAGTGTTCACACTCTGCATTTGAATCCTGCTTCTATCCAAGTGACCTCACAGTTTTCGAAGGTAGCTCTGGGGAATATTAAAAAGTCACAGAACCTCCAGGARTTCATATACAGAGGTGCTTGTGTATATAGAAGCAGAYAGGGTGAAAAGGTTGTATAGAACATGTCATCCTTCTGACACACTGTGGGCCTAAATATAGTCTCTTGCAGTGATGGTTTCACCTAGAAGAAAAGCAAAGAAGAGAAATAAATGTTTGTTGAGTGAATAACTGATTACCAAAAGAATAATTCAGGAATCACCRGCAGCACCATCAGTCATTTCTGAGCAACTAAAATTTTACAAACAGAATCATCACTCACCTGGCTTACAGGGCAGAGCCTGGCTAGTATTCTGGGGCTTTCTCAGATGACAGATTGTAGGAGTTCGTGGCATAGAGAACTCACAATAAAATTTGCTCAGTGGTGCATCTTGCCTGAATCAAATTTAATAGTCACAATGGTCCCCATARAGTCACTTGGCAGAGAAGGACCATCCCTACAGAGCAGAAGCATGCCATGATTGATGAGGAAGCCCCATCAAATTAAGGCCCAGAGTAGACCCAGATGAAGTTCCCTTCCACACCTCACCTTCTATGAATTCAGCCATAACTCTTATCCTGAGAATCCAGCAGGTCTGTTACCGGCTCAGTGTGACCTCATCACACCTTGCCCTTACCTCATCCCCACACATGTGTCCTCAGAGCCTTTCACTCATTATTCACAGCCCTACTTGCCTGCCAGGGTAATGTTGAGCACAGCAACTACACTGGCTGACTTCAGGGTTCCCAAAGCTACCCCCTTTAGAAACAGTGGTGCGTGATCTCTGGGCCTAGAGCATCTGGGGTATAGATGCATAGAATCCCAGATGGCCCATTTGTTCATTGCTTACTGTGTGCTAGGGACTTTGCTAAATATTTTATAGGTGTAATCTGATTTTTATTCTACTGATAGCCAAATGAGGTAGATTTTATTATGCTCATTTCGTATATGAGGAAACGATCAAGTGACTGGTCTGAGGTCACACAACTAACAAGTCGCAGAGTGAAATTAGGACCCAGATGTGTCTCACTCTACAAGCTTGTAACCTCTGCACTCTTGAGGGCTCTGTCACGTTGTCTCTCATTGCTAAGCTACAGCACTGTGCACCCACAACACCAGATATGCAGGACTGGAGACAGCTGGAACTAGTCCCAGTCTAGCTTCATTCATCCATCTATTCATCCTTCCAGCAGAAACTGACACCTACTGTGGGCCAGGACTGCAGCAGGTGCTGGGGATTCAGAATAAATAGCACAGAGATCCTGCCCTTAACATGAGGATCTTAAAGACAAACAGGACTTAYTCTGGAGGCTGCTTAGTCTGTGATCGATGTATGATCACTTTTACCGACAGAGATCATCTTGGCAGGGAGCTCTGGTTTGGACTGAGCTGGCTCTTGGAACATGGATCACTCAAGGTTCAGAACAAGGGGCCAAGGGGCATTGCTGTTGATTCATAGTAAGTATTTATCCCAGGGGAACTTCAAACAGCAGAAAGAGTAATCTAAAACCCACCCTCTCCACCTGTCTGGAATTGCTTTTGGCTACATCTTTGAAAAACCCCCCMAAAAAAGCGATGTTTCTGGAGCCATCCCAACTCAAGGGCAAGTGTTTTGTGTTTCTTCAGATACTAGTTTAAACTGGTAGAGAAAGGTTGGAAGGCCCTGGACAAATTCTGCTGCATGGACCAAAYATCTGCTAACATTTCCTATACAGTTAGTGATACTTTTTTTTTTTTCCCTCATGGGAAACTAATAGGATTAGAAAATTGTGACTGACCCCCATGCTGAAGTCATACCACATCTGCATCCTTCTAGAAGACTGCTGAGTCAGCCCACCACATCCATGGGCTGGGAATCTGTGCACAGAAGATGGAGCTTTTCCACTGCAACCTTACATGGCAGAAGAGCAAAAGGGACTAAGGCGTTCCACCCCCCATCCCACCCCCACCCACCCCCACCCCCACCCCCACACCCCAGTTTTACAAAGTCACTAATCCCATGCATGAGGGTTCTGCCCTCATGACTTCATTCCTCCCTAAAGTCCCACCCCTTCTTACTGCTCATACTTTTTGCAACAAATGGAGCATGAAAGGATGCAAGACTTCTGTAATAATTCTTCTGTGTCCAACAATGTTATTTACTTGCACTTTAAGTATTCTTGTTAAGAATAGAGAAGGCCTGCCCACTGGGACAGCGTGTCCCAAGAGGGGAACACTCCAGTTTCTTCCCCTGGGAGGTAACCAGAGGAGCTGAAGAGGGCTCACAGAACTCAGCCAGAAAAGCGTCAGCAAATGACTTCTGTGTTTACTCACTAAGACCAAGTAGGCCACTCCAGCTAGGGATCCTAGACTATTCAGACTTCCAGCACAACCCAGCCCTGAAAAATGAAGGCAGGTCAGGTCAAAGTGTTGCTCATCAGTGCTTTCCGTGGAAAACAAAGGTCAACAAAGAGTATTCCTTCAACTGGGCTCCTGCTCTTTGTGTCCTAAAATATCCATCACAATCCTTCATTAAAAAAAAAAAAATATATATATATATATATATATACCACCCTTCCCAAAGCAGGATTTCTCTGATATGTTGGCAAGACGGGAAGCAGAGACCTCTTAGTAGGGTAAACTCCTATTGGTCAAAACAGCATTATGCTCATTGAGCCCCGTCAGTTGTGACTGCTGTGGGACAAGAGGCTTTTGGTTTTTCTAGTTTCATTCCTTTGGCATAAATAGAAGAGGAAAAAGAAAACATTGGGTTATCCCTGGTTTCTCTTTATTCTCCAATTTTTCTGCAAGAATATATATGTTTTCTTTTTGTTCTAAGATTTTAAAAGATAAAATAAGGTTAGTAAGAACTTGGGAAGAAGGAGTTTCTATAATTGAACAAATATGGCTTTGAGCTTTCTAACAGCTCAAGAAAGGTTTCACACTTCTCAGTAATTATTGTGTAAATTTTGTTTGGTTTGGTTTGGGGTACTAGGGATTGAAAGGGGCACTTTACTGTTGAGCTACATCCAAGCCTTTTTTATTTTTTATTTGGAGACAGGGTCTCTCTAAGTTGCCTAGTCTGGCCTCAAACTTGTAATCCTCCTGCCTCAGCCTTCCAAGTCACTGAAATTATAGATATGTACCACCATGCCCAGCTACGCAAATGTTTTCTAATGAACACTTTTCTGTATGCTGCAGAAAATTTATAAGGTCAGCTTTTATAACATGAAAATATTTTGATACTATAAACTATTTTTAAGGGACTGATTTTAAAGTACTGTTTGTTCTGGTCACTTGTTTTCACTACACAGTTTATACAACTTTCTTCCAGCAACTGACCAATGCRTGGAATATTATTCAGCCTTTAAAAACAAAGAAATCTTGTCATTTGCAACAACATGGGTGAACCCATAGGATGAAATGAAGTAAAACCAACACAGAAACACAAATACTACATGATCTCACTTACATGTGGGTTGTTAAATAGTTGAACTATTAGAAACAGAGAGTAGAATGCTAGTTACCAGGGGCTATAAGAGAAAAGAAATGAGAAAATATAAAAACATCAGTTTGTACAACTAAATCTGTCTAATTTCTAATGGTCAACAATACTCTAATAAAGCTATAGAGGGGAAGTCCATATGCAAAGGGAAAGGCGATTCCAGAAATGGGCATGAACTCAGGCCTGAAGGATCCTAGCGTCACAGTCCCTATCCCATAGAGACCGCCTAAGGAATAGACATTGGCCTAATCACAGCCAATGAGATATAGTGAAAATTTTGTGGAACTATTGAAAAAGAAATATATACTCTTTTCTACTGGACTTACTCTTGGGAGGACAAAAGACTAAGGTTTCTTGAAGCCTTCTTGCCATGACTTAGAGAAAGGTGAAGTGAACACAGGGAGAACTAGGGTCAAGAATAGGAATGAAATTTGGGCCCAGTGATATTATTTGATCTCCTGGACCAAACCATACCTGAAGCTATTCTACCCTGTATTGTTTGGTTGCATAAGCAAATAATTTCTTCCTCTTTCTTTCTTATTTATTTATTTTCTCAATCCAAAATGAGCTGAGTTTTCTGTCACTTGCATCCAAAACAGTCCTAAATGATATGCTTGTGAGTTAAATATCCATTTGCAAGGGGATGGCCAAGCATACCTTTTAGAAATCATAAGTGTCTTGCAGAGGCTGAAAAAGATCCCCACAGGAGTATTTAATAAAAAGTTAGTACTTCTGAAATCTGAACTCTGAGACCAGATGTCTTTTTTTTTTTTAGCTTTCATTATCACCTCTGATTATACAGTTATCCTCCTTAATAAGAATGCCTCATTAGAGTGCTATACTGAAAACTAAATAAGATAAAAATATATTAAAATGCCTAGAACAGTGCTTGACACCCAGTGGATTCTCAACAGATTTTTATTTTCTCCCAGAATATTATTGTCAAAACACAAAATGCATAGAGACAAGAAGTTTGCACATTATCGAGAACTCCACCGTTGCTCAAGATAGTTGTTAGGACTTCTTTTGCATGAAGCATGGTCAGAACATAGGATATTTGCAARACCGCATCCTCGAAGCAATGATGCTCTTATACTTAGAAATGATGAATCCAAATTTATGTCTCATGAGGAGAAAATCAACAGTGGGCACTTCTGTGAAACAAGTATCACAAGATCAGAATTGACTACATGCAGAGTTTGTCAGATGGGAAGCAGGAAGGCCTACCAAGGAAAAGGTGATATGTTTGATGTGCTCACTGATAACAACAAGGGCATGAAAACAGCTCCAGAGACCCTGAGGAACCCACGTCGACCCACAACTACAGGAAATGTGTGTCCCAAACCCTGAGTTTCTTTCTGGAAACGTTGCTGATGCTCTTAAGAGCAAGATAATGTAATACAAAGAGCATTTTTTAAAAGTAAGATAGATTGCTGGGTGATGCATACCTGTAATCCCCTTGGYTTGGAAGGCTGAAGCAGGAAGATCACAAGTTCAAAGCCAGCCTCAGCAAGAGCAAGGAGGTGCTAAGCAACTCATTGAGATCCTGTCTCTCCATAAAATACAAAATAGGGCTGAGAATGTGGCTCAATGTTCAAGTGCCCCTGAGTTCAATCCCCAGTACCCACTGAAAGAAAAGTGGCGCAGGACTGATCAAACACACACCTGGGATAAGAAGTGGGTTTATTGTCAGGAGCCCGACAAAGCTCTCTGCACGAAGAGAGGGACACCAGCAGCAAGCGAGACAGAGCAGCAGCAACTCCCCCTTGAATGTCACCTTTTATTGGCTAGAATCATGGCCAGGCACTAGGGGCGGTTCAGTCTTGACTGTCATAGTAAGCATCCCCCRATCTTGTAGAAGGCAAGTTTGTTTCTTGGGAACAGAGACAGGCAGTTTTCCTATCTCTCAGAGGGGGAACAGGAAAACCGACATGTCCCTTTATCCTCTGGAGGAGAGAACAGGGAAACCAGTACATCTCCATCTCAGGGGCCAGTGAGTTGTCTCCTATCTCTCAGGGAGAGAACAGGGAGAGACTGGCACATCTCCATGCCGGTAGGTTTTATCTGGGGCTAGCTTCTATTTTGGGGGAATAAGAACAGTATTCATAAAGTGGGGGTAGGGAAAAGGAATATGGCTGCAATTATGCTAACACCCTCCCCCCCAAAAAATAAGATAGGTTCACATTATAATCCCAGATGGTTGTAATCTTCTATTTACGGATCTTGAGCTATAACTTAAACTAAGTCTCAGTTTTCTTATTTGTGACAGTTAAATAATATCATGTGCCCGATAGTAGTTCCTTTCTTCCAAGATGTGACAGTCTCATCCAATTCCCCTGCCAGGTATGTTGTGGTCTGCACTTCTCTATCCCCTGTGAAGGTAGGTTTGTTCTCATGGTTTGCTTTGGAAAATGAAATACAAATTGAACTGAGTTGTGTCTGTTGAGGAGAAAGCTTTAAGAATCAGAGCATGATTCACTAGATCCTCGTCCACCCAATAAAGTGATTCTAGAAGCAAGTGTCAAGACTGGACCTCTGTCAGCCTGTGTCCCCTGCTGTCTGTGATACACAAGCTCCCTGATAAACTGCTCTGATGTGAGCCATGAGCAAGTGATCAATTCTGAGTTGTTCCTTACTTGAACAACCCAGCCCTCCTGTTTGATAACCACATTAGACCCTTTCAATTCATGAAGCCATTTAAGAGATGTTTGGTTATACTTTGAATCTTTGCATATATTACAATCAATATGAAGATACTTCTAAAACTTTAAAAGCAAAATTCAGAAGATTCAAAATAAAATGTATATGATTAGAAAAGAGTGATAGTAGGGCTGGGGTTGTGGCTCAGTGGCAGTGTGCTTGCCTAGCATGTGTGAGGCACTGGGTTTGGTCCTCAGCATCACATAAAAATAAATAAATAAATAAAAGCATTGTGTCCATCTACAACTAAAAATTATAAAGAAAAAAAGAAAAGAATGATAGTACCTAGTGCCAAACAAGAAGTACAATGAAAAACATTCTCACACTTTTGTAAGGAATGTAAATTGAGTAAGATTTCAAAGGACAGTCTAGCCCTATCTGTAAAAATTGGACCTACTCTAGAAATTTATTCTTAAGAAATTATGAGATACTTATGCAAAGTATAGATAAAGACATTATTGATGTACTTACTGGTTATAGGAGTAAAAAATTGRGAACAACCTAAATGTCTAACAATAAGAAATTAGTTTTCCAGGAGTTAGAGAARATAATGCTAAGTGAAGTTAGCCAATCCCAAAAAAACAAATGCCCAATGTTTTCTCTGATATAAGGATTCATGGTAGGGTAGGGAGGAGGAGCATGGGAGGAACAGACGAACTCTAGATAGGCAGAGGGGTGGGAAGGGAGGGGAGGGGGCATGGGGTTAGAAATGATGGTGGAATATACATGTATGAAGACACAAATTGGTGTGAATATACTTTGTATTCAACCATCGATATGAAAAATTGTGCTTTATATGTGTAATAAGAATTGTAATGCATTCTGCTGTCATATATTAATTTTAAAAATTAATTAAAAAATAAAAATATATCAAAAAAGATTATAAAATTTTATTCGTAAAAATTTAATACTTTTGATGCTTTTGTAAATGATATTTTTTTCTATTTCATTTTATGTGTTTCTTGATATTTTATAAAAATATTTCTTTTTTAATTAAAAGAAAGAAAAAAATGGGTTATCCAAAGCATGGTAGATACATACATAGAGCACTGGGCAGAATATGGAGTTCAATATATATTTTTATTTATTTATTGTTGGTTTATTAGGAGTTTACACAATAGTGGGATTTGTTGCAATGTATTTAAACATGCACATATTTTGATCAATTTCATTCACCAGCACCTCCCTTTAACCTCCTCTCCTCCCTCAATCCATATTTTTAATAAGTATATATCCATAATACATAATTTTAGCAGGCTAAGTAAAATAGCATGTCGCCCACGTCCTGCACAGCCACGGATTCAGGGTCACTCCACGGGAATTGGGCTGGCAATGAAAAGACCACACAAACACAAAATACCTTTTTCAGGGGTCAGGGATGGCTCTGCGACTTCAGGGGTCAGCTCCTATGCTGGAGGGCAAAAGAAGAAAGACAGCCAAGAGCAAGAGAGCTAGTGCACCCCCAACCCCTGTTTTTATTAGGGGAAAGACATTCGATAGAATATTCCACCCAAATAAGGCAAGGGATAGTGTTACAACAAACAGGGGGGTGCAGCCCAGTCCCATTGGGTGACGCCCAATCCCAGAGCTGCACTTCCTTGCTGAGGGAAGGGAAGGCCCACTTGCTTCACACTGCATTTGATTCCAGTTCCACACCCCTATTACTCAAGGCTAAGGGGGCATGCTCAACCCCTGTTCAGGGCGCCTCGACAATAGCACATATTATATCAATCTTTTTTTCATAAATGTATGTTTGGGACACCAAAGGAAGAGCTACATGAACACTACTGATGGTTATCTTCATGGAATAAGCTACAGTTKATTTGTATTTGTTCCATTTGAGTGCCTGATTCTTTAAAATGTGTGTGTGTGTGTGTTTATTTTTAACCAGAAAAAAATTAATCAATTTTTATTCTTAAAAAAAAAAAATGAGTGGGAGAGAAAAAGCAAAGGCAGAAAGAGTCAGAGAGACAAAGACTGACAGAGTGATTCGTTGTCCTCTGCGGTGATCAAGACATTGTCAACTGTGGCTACAGAGACKGGGAAACCTCCAAGTTCTGTCAAGAAGAGTTATATTCAAAATGATTGTAACCACACTATATCAAAAGCTAATCAACTATGTTGGACCCTGAGAAAGGACACTTTTAAAAGGTTGTTCAGCATGGAGTGTAGAAAAGAGTCAATCAGCCGAAAGCGGTCACTGTCTACATCTGCCCTATTCCCCAGGGTAGCCCGGAGCCCCACACAGCCACTGAGCCCTTGAACTGAAGCAGATCAAGATGTGCTGCAAGTGTGATATGATCACCAGGCTTCAAAGACTTTGTGTGAGGAAAGGAATGTAACCCAGCTTAATAATAATTTTAACATAGGTTATGTGTTGAAATGGGTTCTGGTTTGGATCTGTAATGAAAGGCTCATGTGTTKAAGGTGTGGTCCCCAGTGTAACAGTGTTCGCAGGTGGGGACTTCAGGCAGGTGAGCATTCTAACCTTGTCAGTGGACTAATCCATGAACAGATTCATAATTGGATTGCACTCTTGGGAGGTGGTGGAAACTGTAGGAGGTGGGGCCCTCCCAGTTGGAGGAAGTAGGTCGTGAAGGGAGGGTGTGCCCTGGAAAGGTATATATCTTGCCCACAGCCCCTTCTTTTCTCTCTCTCTCTCTCTCTCTCTCTCTCTCTCTCTCTCTCTCTCTATCTCTCCCCCTAACCTTGGTATAAACACTTTGAAAAACATTTGATATAAGAAGCCTCTGATACAGGTATTCCATATCTGAGAATCTGTCCCAAGGAATAACTCATAAACATAACCACAAAAACCCAAGAAAAATATTTGTTATAGGATTATTTATAATGCAAAAAAAATAAGACAACTTAAACTTCCAAAAATAAAGAAGACTTAGGTAAAATATGATATATCCACTCAAAAAAACTATGACACAGGCAATAAAATTGTTTGCCCTGGCTATATATAACATGAAAATTAAATGATTATATGATATTTAGTGAAAAAACAGGATCAATTTTTATTCATAAAATACAATTATAACCACGTAAAAACTGTTCTTTTAAAAAAAATAGAAGAAAATATTCATTATGTTTTTATCTTTCAGTGGTGAAATCACAAGTTATATTTTTTTCTGTTCTTCTGAATTCTATTTAATTAATGTTTTATAAATTAGTATTAGGATTGGTCAAATAGTATAAAAGAGTATTATGGTAGACCACTTCTAAGAGGTTCATGTCCTAATCCCCAGAATCAAGGAATGTTACCTTACACGATAAAAGGGACCTTTATATGATTAAGAATCTCAAAAGGAGACACTTATTCTGGTTTATTTAAATGGGCCAAATGTAACCACAAGGGTACTTGTAAGAGAAAGGTAGAAAGGTCATAGAGAGAAGACAATCAATGTGGTGACAGAAGCACAGGTTATAGTCAGAGAATGCAATGATTTAGATCTGGCTTATCCCCCAGATTCACATGTTGGAAACTTGGTCTCCAGCATGACAGTGTTGAGGTAGCAGAAATTTTAAGAAGTAGGAGGTGAGAGGTGGTTAGGTTATGGGGTCACTGCCCTCAGAAAAGATTAAGATAGTTCTTGAGGGACCCTGATTAATTATTTATATATATATATATAAATAATATATATATATGCGGAATGCATTACAATTCTTATTACACATATAGAGCACAATTTTTCATATCTCTGGTTGTTTACAATGTATATTCACACCAATTTGTGTCTTCATACATGTACTTTGGATAATATTGATCATCACATTCCACCATCATTAATAACTCCATGTCCCCTCCCTTCCCCCTCCAACCCCTCTGCCCTATCTAAAGTTTCTCTATTCCTCCCATGCTCCCTCTCCCTATCCCACTATGAATCAGCCTCCTTATATCAAAGAAAACATTCGGCATTTGTTTTTTGGGGATTGGCTAACTTCACTTAGCATTATCTTCTCTAACTCCGTCCATTTACCTGCAAATGCCATGATTTTATTCTCTTTTATTGCGGAGTAATATTCCATTGTGTATATAGGCCACATTTTTTTTTTTATCCATTCATCTATTGAAGGGCATCTTGGTTGGTTCTACAGTTTTGCTATTGTGAATTGTGCTGCTATAAACATTGATGTGGCTGTGTCCCTGTAGTATGCTGTTTTTAAGTCCTTTGGGTATAAACCCAAATGGGCCAAGGACCTGCACAGACACTTCTCAGAAGATGATATACAATCAATCAAAAAATATATGAAAAAATGTTCATCATTGCTAGCAATTAGAGAAATGCAAATCAAAACTACTCTAAGATTTCATCTCACTCCAGTCAGAATGGCAGCTATTATGAAGACAAACAACAATAAGAGTTGGTGAGGATGTGGGGAAAAGGTACACTCATACACTGCTGGAGGAACTTCAAATTGGTGCAGCCAATATGGAATACAGTAGGGAGATTTCTTGGAAAATTGGGAATGGAACCACCATTTGACCCAGCTATCCCTCTCCTCCATCTATATCCAAAGGACTTAAAAACAGCATACTACTGATTCTTATAAGAGTGAATTGTTATAAAATAATAAAGCGGACCCCTCCCCACTCTCTGGCTCCCTTTGATGTCATCTATCATGAAATTCCACAGGAGCTGAGAACATGCCAGAGCCATGCCCTTGAGCCTCCAGAACTGTGACCTAAATAAACCTGTCTTCTTTATAAAGTACCTAGCCTCAGGAATTTTATTTTAGCAACTGAAAACTGACTAATACAAACAGAAAGATTCAAAGATGCTACAAGTGCTGGCTTTTAAGATGGAAGAAGAGAGAATATTCAAGGAATGCAGATGACCTCCAGAATCTGAAAAATATAAGGAAATAGATTTCCCCCTAGAACCTTAAGAAGAAGCACAGTCCTTTTGACACTTTAATTTTAGGAATTCTGATTTCYGATTTCCAGACCTCTGAGGTGATAAACTCGGTTGTTTTATACCATTAAATTATGAAAATTAGATACAGCAGCAATAAGAAACAAATACAAATATATAAAATATTTATGATGGAAAATGTTATTTGGCTAAAACAGGCTTTACTTGTTTAAGGAGCTTTAATATTTGTAGTCCAGTGTTACTTCACCATTAAATGTCACAAAACAAAAGCAATAGAGCTTAATATGTTTCAGATGAATACATCTTATCTTTTCATTCTTGCTATCTACATGGAAATACCTTATTATGCAGCAACAAACACTGGATTGGAAGCAATTTGCTTAATAATGACATTTAGTACACAAAACTCTGAGAAGAAGACAACAAGCAGCAGGAAGGAGAAACTAAAAAGGGGGGGGAATTTGATGAATCATAAACAAAACACACCCCCTGAGTTGAGCAACTCTAGATTTATGCAAATTCAACACTGCACAGATTTCTCCAAAAGGCACATACTGCAATTTTATAAAATAGAAAATGCTAATATAGTTAATGCACAATGGAGCTACRACACAACTGTAATCCTTACTTACTGTTCTCCTCATCCAGTCTCTTGTCCCATTCTGGACCCCCAGTTTGATTTCCAGTTGACAATCTTGCTCCCCCTCCCTCAGTCTTTAGCCTGGAGTGTCTGACTCCTGGTCTTCTGCTCCCTCACCCCCATAGCCCTCCCTCCACCCAACTCTAGTTTAGATTTGCTCCACCTGTTTTCTCTATCCAGCACTATTTCTTGGTTCACCTCTCAAGACCCAACCTCTAGTCTTGGACTCCAGGAGATGAGGAGAGGAGAGGAAGATGAAAGTGGGGAAGTGGACCATCTTGGAGGAGTGGGCAAAAATATCTTTGAAGCAAAGGCAGAAGAGAGGGCAGGAAGGAAAGTCAGAGAGAGGGCTAGAGGAAGGAAAGTAAAGAGGGAGGTGGAATGAAAAGAAGAAAGAAAAAAAGAGGGGAGAAGTGCACACCACATAAACCAGTCATCAGTAACCTTAGGGAGAAAACACACTGAAAGTTATGGAAACCATTGCATCACATATGAAATGTTTTGACAAACACTAATTTTGGGTAAATGGATCATTAGCTGACTTGGCTTATGGGTGGACTGGTTTTAGTGAATTGACCTATTTTCCAAGGATACCCTAGCACAAGCACACGTGTGTACCACTTGGCAGGTTCTGTACATCCTGAAAGTGGGGGAAAGTGCCTCTACCATTCTCTCTTGGAGACAGACTGCTCAGATCCCCTAATTATCTGGTTCTGTCTGCACTCATCAAACAGCCTTCTCATTATAATTTGGCTTCCCATGTAGATTTTCCTACTGGGRGAGAACAGGCTGACCTGTGAGCAGGAGTATTCTAATCCCACTGGTGGTTACTCAGCCTGGAAATTAATAAATCAGCATTCTCTTGGGAATTGTATTTGCATGTCCATTCTTCAGAGTCTAAAAGAATTTCATTGCACA